AATCTGGCCATCTCCCACCTCCCCGCCTGCAACCCCCTACCTCCCTTTCGCCACCTCCAACCTCCCGCCCGCCATCTCCCAACCTCCTCTCTCCATCTTTCACCTCCCTCTCCCCATCCCTCACCTCCCCGCCCGTGTGGAAAAGGCTGATTCGGGCACATCTCTGCATGCGCAACAGCCCCCTATCACCTCTTTTTTTTTTTTTTTTTAAATAGCTCGCAAGGCTGACCCGTGCAGCCTGCACAGGTGCACGGTCGTGCCCGCCCGGCCGGGCAGCTCAGGAAGCCTAGTCGCCATATTCAGGGGAAGACTGTACTGTGCTTATGCCCTGAGTTACGCATTTGTTCGTGCCTTGAGCCGCCAGTACACGGTCCCCAGCTTGCAGGAAATGAACTTGTCCCGACCACGGCGGTGTACCTAGACTGCGCGTGCACCATCAGCATCATCAGCAGTCGTCAAAGAACTGGCATTTGGTTTAAAAAATTGACAATTTGACATCTTTTTACGAATTTCATGAAATTGTTCTTCCAAAAACAAAAGCTTTTTTTTTGGTTTAGGATTTTTTTTGTGGCCACGACATCGGACCATTGATGGTCCGGTGTCATGGCGACTCCGGACCATCGGATCTATCTCAATTTTTTTTGGTCGTTTTTATTGGACACTCAGATGTATCTAGACGGTACATGACATCGAGCCTACATCAGCTGGTACGGCATCCCCACGACACCACACAATCAATGGTCTGATGTCATGTGCAACAAAAAAACGCTAAAAAAATACTGTTTTTTCCTATATTGTGTATTCCCAATTTCGTGAAATTGGCAAAAAATTACAATTTTATCTAAAATGCCCCGTATACGCCGTATAGCAAATTTTCACAGGTGCTGTACATACATCACCACAAGTACCAGGAGGAGATGTAGCGCAAAATCATCTCTCCGCAGCACGTCCCAGCCCTCCAAACCCAGCGCCAGACTTCCACCGGTGACTGATAAACGAAAAGAGAGAAAAAAAAAAAAAAAGGTGCGAAACCATCTCTCTTGCTGGAATATTAACTCAAACTCACAACCGACTGGAGGAGTTTGCGAATTTCAATTTGGCTCAGGATTCAAAACAACACACACACACACAAAGCAAAAAACGAGGAGGATAGTATAATGTCCCAACTGGCCTAGTTCAGTTGGTGCACCCATGAACTGTTGAAATACACTTCCAAAGGAAAAGATGGCATCTTAGGAGGGCTGTTACCTTTTAATTTTTTTATTTATTTATTTAAAAAAAAAAAAGGGCGACAGCCTTGGGATATTATCATTGAGCTGACCGGCCCCAAGCAATTTATTAGTAGTTGGTTGCAATTGTCAAGTTTCCATCATCTGGATTCGAACTCAGGTCTGTATTGCAACAGTTCATGGGTGTACCCACTGAGCTAGGCTCTTGGGTACCTTTTAAATTTTTGAAAAAAGGCGTTCATAGCATAGCGTAGGGTACAACAACATAGGATAGGATAGGATAGGATAGGATGGCGGGCAACAGAATTGGACGGGTTAGGGAATAGCAGGAAAGGTTTGATATAGGATAGGATAGGAGAGAATAGAATAGTGTAGGATAGGATAAGAGGGGATACGATAGGATAGGTTAGGACAGAATAGGATAGGATAGGATAGGATAGGATAGGATAGGATACGATAGGATAGGATAGGATATAGGGTAGGATAGAATAGTATAGAATAGAGTAGGGTAGGATTTATGAATGATAGAATACAGGAGGATAAGGGGCAGGATAGAGGCTAGGCAAGGACAGGATAGGATAGGATAGGGTTGGATGGAGCAGGAAGTTTGACATAGGATAGGATAGGATAGGGTAGGGTAGGGTAGGGTAGGGTAGGGTAGGGGATAGGCTTGGATATACCAGAAAAGGTTTGCGATAGGATAGGATATAATATTGTAAGGTACCATGTAGGAATGACAGGATGGGACAGGACAGGATAGGAAAGGCTTGGGATAGGAAAGGATAGGAAAGGATAGGAAAGGATAGAATAGGATAGAATAGGAGAGGAAAGGAGAGGAAAGACTTGGAATAGGGAAGGATAGGAACAGATTGGAAAGGGTAGGAAAGCATAGGAAAGGCCTGGGATAGGGTAGGTACGGCAAATCTGGAATTAAATTGATGAAAATTACATGAATATTTCAATAAAACACACAAAAACACACTCTGATTGTTGTGCGCTTGATGTGCACTTCTGTAATGTAAATAAATTAAAACAAGTAGAAGTAATATTGACTTGTCGTGAGGGCACGGGTGCACAACCCTTAGTTCGTTTGTTGATGTGGTTCGGGAAGGTGTAAGGTGGTGATTATGCTGTGTTTATGTTTTGTCATGTTCGCTATACACAACTCGAAGAG